AGACAATCAGATTCTTCCAGAGCAGAGCAGAGGCATGAAGCAGATCACAGCTGTGGGCAGCACTGACCGCTGGGGGACCACGAGCAGCATCTGTGTCCTAGGACAACCTTCCCAAGGAGGACAGAGAAAAGGCTTGTCAAGGAGAGCCATCACGAAGGGAGGACGTGGGGTGGGGGGGACACTGTGCCGTGAAAGACTGAGGCAGGGGGCAGACGGTGAGTAAGAGGGGCTGTGAGCCGGGCGGGTCCATCAAGCAGAGCTGTAGGGATTTTATGCTTTTCCTGTTGTTTTGTTTTGTTTTTCGAGACAGGGTTTCTCTGCGGCTTTGGTGCCTGTCCTGGAGCTCTCTGTGTAGACCAGACTGACCTCCAACTCACAGAGATCCACCTGCTTCTGCCTCCCAAGTGCTGGGATTAAAGGCGTGCGCCACCATTGCCCAGCAGTGCTTTTCCCTTTGAATGTATGTATGTATGTATGTATGTATGTATGTATGTATGTATGTATATGAAATATTAAACACACACACACATATTTGCTTTGTTTTAAGATGAAGATCTGTTGTCCAGGCTGATCTTGAACTCCTCATTTCAAAGCAATCTTTTTGCCTCAGCTTCCAGAATAGCTGGGACTAACAGCAAATGCCCCAGTGCTAGGCAATATTTTGTTCTTTTTTTTTTTTTTTTTGGTTTTTCGAGACAGGGTTTCTCTGCGGCTTTGGATGCTGTCCTGGAACTCGCTCTGTAGACCAGGCTGGCCTCGAACTCACAGAGATCCGCCTGCCTCTGCCTCCCCAGTGCTGGGATTAAAGGCATGCGACACCAACGCCCGGCTAATATTTTGTTCTTAATCCTGAGAACAAAGGAAGCATCTTTAGTGTAAGAAAAAAAAGAATGGACCTACTGTGTTGGTGAGGATGTTGAGAAAATAGGAATCAGGAGAGAGACCAGTGCTCAAACTCTGGCAACTTCCTCCTCTTTAAGGGCTTCAGAGTTCATCTCAACCACCTTGTCTAGATAACCCTCGGAGGCATGCCCAAAGTCTTGTCTTTAGTCCAGGTCTGCTCAAGCTGAGTATGACGGCCTGGTAGCTAAAGCAGCTTCTGGGAAGTGAGGGGGAAAGAGACGGTGCAATGGACAGAAGCCTGCAGAGACGGGTGGAAAGGCATGTGGAAGCCAGACGTCTACATCCCAGGCTGGCCAAAGGTCATGGAGCTGATGGGAAGAAGGCCAGGAAAGGACCCTGACAACTGATCAGTCGCTGGACGGTGATGGCACACACCTTTAACTCCAGCCTCAGGAGACAGTGGCAGCTGTGAGTTTGAGGCCAGCCTGGCCCACAGGGTAAATTCAAGGACAACCAGGGTTGTTACACAGAGAAACCCTGTCTCAAAAAACAACAGCAACAAAAAGAATAATGAGTCAGCCTGCAGGAGAGAGACAACCTCAGAAGCACAGCTGGGATAGTGGGGGGGGGGGTTGGGGGAGGGTTGGTTAACATGATCTAAATCTGACGGAATTTCTTAAGGTCTTCTTTTAGTCTGCTTCCTTCTCTGCTTCGTAACTGTTTTAAGGGACTGGAGGTGTAGGTCGGTGGTAAAGTGTCGCACCTGCTGTGCGGCCTGCATCCGAGAATGTAGCGAGGTGGTCGGGATAGATGACACAGAGACCGGTCGGTTGCTTTAAGAAAACTTTATGCTTCCCAAGTCAGCTTAGGAGGAGATTCCAAATCCACTTAGGAGAGAGAAGTCTCAGGAGAAGTCTCTCTAAGAAAAAGGAGCTTCCCTTTTTTAAGGACTTCTGCCATTCATCTACATACCATTCTTTCCAGACTTCTCACCCTCCTGGCTGGTGGTTTAATCTCCGGCCCCAGAATCGGGGAGACACCACAGGGGGGACAGGAAGAGGCATCTAGCCATAGGGGGTGTGAAAGGCATGGTATTTCAGTGAGCAAGCCCTTATCTGAGCCCTATCAAGAGCTTTATAGCACTGAATTGTTTTCAGTAAACATTACACAGCTGCCTGCTCCCAGGCCGAAGGGGAAGTGGGTTTCTGCTCAAGGTCTGGTGCCCCCACAGTACAGCATATGCACTGTGTCGGATTCTACCCGAGAAGAACATGACCAATTCCGATTTGATTGATTTGATGCTGAGACAGGGCCACACTTTGTAGCCTCCGGTGGCCTGGAACTTACTATGTAGACCAGGCTAGCCTCTAACTTACTGATGTATGCATGCTTCTGCCTCTTGTGCTGGAATTCAAGGCATGTGACACCATATCTGGCTCAATTAAGACTTTGTAGTCAATTAAGTCTTCCCAAGACATATTTTGTCACTACTCTTCTTGATCTTTGTTTGATGTGTTTGTCCCCAATGTAATACGAGTTCTCGTAGGGAATGAGCCTCATCCCCCACCCCGTGTGTGTGTGTGTGTGTGTGTGTGTGTGTGTGTGTGTGTGTGTGTGTGTATGTATTCACATCCACACCAGAAGCATTGTTTATTACTACAGAAAAATCATACCCAGGTCTGCAAATGCAGATACAAGTACCACAATTCATCACTCCGTGGTGCGGCCGGGAAACTGAGGTCCTTGCTGTAGAAAGGAGGCCTTCCGACCTGTAGCTGGGGGAGTTAAGCCTTCCCCTAGCTTAAGACAGCCCTAGGATGGAATGAGCAGGGAGGTGCATCAGGCCTCTCAGGAGCAGCAAGGAGGCAGGCCTGTGAGAGGAAGTCAGCCACTGTCCTGGGTCCTGGCTCCCTGCCACCAGCTAGCTCAGTGTTTCCTCCCTCCTATCACAGAGGCCATTAGAATGGGTAGTGTCAACAGCTGGCCAATCAGATGGGGACTGAAGACTGAGGGGGAAGAGAGAAGTGGAAATGGCTATCCTGGAACCCTGGCAGGGGAGCAAAGGACCTGTGTGCTTATGCAGAACCAAAGAAAATGCTGGCCGTGGGGGAGGGGAGGTGCGGACTTGTTCTGTTTGTTCTGACTTTCAGTACCCTGAAAGTCCATGTATATTAGTTTGTCTACAGACACACATTCTTATGTTTCTTTGTAAATGCACAGGCAGCCAAATTGCATGTGTGCTATCTTGTGCACTCGTGTATAAGAGTACTGATGCTCACACATGCACACAGGAATGTCCACCAGCCTGTGTGAGATGGTACAGACATATCTGAGTGCATGCAGATGTATTAGGGCCGGGGAGGGGGGAGGAGAACCTGTTAGCTGAGCTATGTGTCAGTCCCTTGACAGTGTTTGATCCAGACACAGTAGGTGTCTGTTAAGAGAGGGGCTGAGCCCCATTAACCATTTGAGGTTCCTAAGCTCAGAACTCTGCTCAGAGGAGGGAGTGGGACCGTGCAAAGGTGACAGCTACTGGGAACCCAAGCCAGCTCCCCATCCAGACCTCTGATAGAAGCACTTTTGAATGAGAGCCAGTTTTCTTACTTAAGTCCATTGCAAACCACACAACTCTTGCCCACTCCCGTTCCCATCTCAAATTCTGTACTGCAATCAAGATGGCCTGCTATAGCTGGGGAGCTGGGGAGCCCCCACTCTATACATAGCTTGGCTTGCTCATTCCCCTGCTCCAGAATGCAAATGTCCACCCCATCCCCATTCCAAATAGCAGTCCCTTTCCTTGAAGACCCCTTGGCACATGGAGAGCAGGCTCTCCCTCCTTGGTGTCCTGGTTCTGTCAGTGGCAGTAAGGCACCAGTTGAGACACAGTTACCCAATGTCACCCTTTGGTGGCCCAGGGACTTCTTTCCAGAGACTGGGTGATACAGGATTCTTGACTCTGCCAGAGTAGGAAAGAATTTCCCAAGGAGCCAGTAAGAAGAAGAGTTGAGTTTCTGCCGGGCGTTGGCGGTGCACGCCTTTAATCCCAGCACTCGGGAGGCAGAGGCAGGCGGATCTCTGTGAGTTTGAGGCCAGCCTGGTCTACAGAGTGAGTTCCAGGACAGCCTCCAAAACAATACAGAGAAACCCTGTCTCGAAAAACCAAAAAAAAAAAAAAAAAAAAAAAAAAAAAAGAAAGGGGAGGGAAGGGGAAGGAAAGAGAAAAGAGGTAAAGAGACAGAGACACAGAGAGAGGACAGAAGAGCAGAGGGAGACAGGAAAAGTCCTGTCTGCCCCACGGGAACATCAGGAAAGAGAGAGGAAAAGAGAGCGTAAGTGGGCTGGGGTCTGTATTTTAAAGGTGTCCTTTGCACCTTCCTGCAGACTAGTAGTCATAGAAGCCTGGGCTGACCAGGGAACCGCCTGAGTGCATTCTGCCAGGTGTCAGGGGCAGGCCAGCATAATGCCTGAATCCTTATACCCAGTATCACAGAGATTGCATGAAAAGACATTTTCTTTTTCTTCTTTTTTTTTCTTTTGGTTTTTCTAGGCAGGATTTCTCTGTGTAACAGCCTTGGCTGTCCTGGAACTCACTTGGTGGACCAGGCTGGTCTCAAACTCACAGGGATCTGCCTGCCTCTACCTCCTGAGCACTGGGATTAAAGGTGTACACTGCCACTGCCCAGCATAAATTAAAATATTGTCATTGTCAATAATAGTTTGCTCTTGTTTGGAAATTTCCAGAACTTATCTGGGAAAGGAAGAAGATTCATGTATACTCATCATGGTTCCCTGTTACTTTAGTGTTCTTATTAGAATTTCTTTGTTTGCTTAACCTTATTTTGTGTTTTGCAAAAAGGTCTCACTGTGTAAATCTGGCGGGCCTGGGGCTCACTCTGTTGGCCAGGCCATACTCAAATTTGCACCTGTCCTTCTGCTATTAATTCCTGAGTGCTGGGATTACAAACATTCACTATCACATTCAGCTGAAAATACCTGTAAATAGAAAGAACTGTGTCTTTTTTTTTGCAGGCAACTTTCACCACAAATTGAGTGGGAATTTTGGACTCTCAGCTGGCAAGAGACAAGATGAAGGGTTTCCTTTCCTTCCCATTAACCCTCAGTTTCTCATCTCTCTACCTTGCCTCTCTTGTTTACAGGGATCTCGCCACTAGCCCTCTGGACTCACAGAAGAGTAGCTTTCTTGGGCCTGTGCCCATCTCCTGATGCAAATAATGAACTCAGCTTCCTCATCAAAACCTGCCTGTGTTGATCAGAGGCCCTGCTTCTCCTGCCTTCTCAGACCTAGAAAGTATCCAGAGTCTTTGTCCACTGGTTTCTGAGATCCACTAGCCTCCTTTAAAAGGCTGAGCAGGCTTAATAAAATATCGCACAAACCACCACTGCCCCTACGCCATCTGTGCCCATGGCCGACTTATAATCAACAGTCTACTGTGTCTCCCTTTCTTTGGGGTGCCTCAGCAGGATGAGCCTAGCACTTCCTAATGTCTTTATGTCTTTATACCTAGGAAACTGTAATAAAAGCCTCGGTTCTTCTTTTGATCGCTTCTTTGGCACTGGCTTTTTTTTTTTTTTTTTTTTTTTTTTGGTTTTTCGAGACAGGGTTTCTCTGTGGCTTTGGAGGCTGTCCTGGAACTAGCTCTTGTAGACCAGGCTGGCCTCAAATTCACAGAGATCCGCCTGCCTCTGCCTCCCGAGTGCTGGGATTAAAGGCGTGCACCACCAACGCCCGGCTTTTTTTTTTTTTTTTTGAGATAGAGTCTCACTATGTAGCCCTGGCTAGTTGGCCTGGAACTTGCGATGAAAATTCTGAACATGCCCAACATATGACTGTAAGTCTGGCCTCTGGTCTCTATACCAGTATAGATATAATCTGGTCCACGAAAGAACAGGAAGGCACAGAAGGGCACGCAGGCTAGCATCATGGGATATGACTTTCTGGTTTATTGCTTTCCACTCCGTGGGGCCTCCTACAATGGAGGATTTATCCAGTTTCAGCCAAACCTGTGCATAAGGAAGGACAGAACTGGTTCCAGACTGTGTGGGAAGCCTTAGGAAGGAGGATGGAGTTCCCAGGACACACCCTCTGTCTCTCTCTGCTCTTGAGCTTAGCTGTGTCTAACAGCAACAGAAATGGTATTCCAGGCTCAGACCTGTCCCTTCCATCCTGGCCTAGACAAAGCCTTGGGCAGGGCTGTGTCCCAACCCTCTCTGCAATTCATTAGACAGCTCTTATTACTGGGCTTGGTGGTACACGCCTATAATCCCAGCACTTGGGAGGTAGAGGCAGGAGGATCAGAAGTTGTTCAAGGTTATCCTTGGCCAGTTTAGGCTACCTTTTGTTTACAGGAGAAGAAAGGGATAGGGGAACTCTATCAAGCACCTTCCTGCAGATAACAGTCAATTCCTGGCCTCCAGCAGCAACTGGACCCCTGGCTTTACAACACTGTGGGGAGGGCATTTCTAACAACATCAAGTCCTAGGAGGAGGAAGCAGGATGGAGTGAAGGGACAGGGAGGTATCCATAGACTCTTAAAGCTAAGATGATAAAAATTCATTGTTTTTTAAAAATACCCTCTGGCATTTTTAGGAAAATGAAGAGCATGTAGGTTTGGAGAGGAAATTAATTGCTAAATGGCATAAAACCAGGCCATAACCACCCCCAAAGACATGCAAGTCACCCAAAGGACTTGGTCTTTTGTCTTTCATTCCAAGTCCCCGAGCCAAGCATATCTGGGAGCAGCTTGGGCAACAGCTCAAAGAGCCTGGAAGCCCAGGAGCCTGGAGGCTGTAACAGGGCAGGGCTGTGTGTCTCTAGGGAACAGGGGCGTGGTGGAAAGAGGCGGGGCAGAGGAAACTGGTACCACCTGGCATCTTGCTACAGAAAAGGCAGAACCCAGGCTGGACTTTGGAGACTTGCTGATTTGATGAGATATGCACTGAAGGACAGCTTGTTTGAGAGCTCAGTATCAGGAGCACAAATCTAGAGTTGGGAGTTTAAACAGAGTCTCTACAGAATCGCCTCTAGCAGTGCTTCCTACATTCTGAGTAAATGAGGTGCCAACCACTGTGACTTCTAGGCATGGCATCCCACAAAGGAGGAAAGGTGCCAGCAGCTGTGACTTCTAGGCATGGTGTCCCACAAGGGAGGAAAGAAAGCCCAGATTGAAAAGGAGTAACCCTCTGCAATGCAAATGGGATTAAGACACAGCCTGTTCTGAAAATGAATTCGATGCTGGCACCCACAGCCTACTGTAGGCCAAGTTAGGCTACATTGTAGAACAGTGGTTCTCAACCTTCCTACTTCTGTGATGGTTTATGTGTTCCTCATGTTGTGGTGAACCCCCCCAACCATAAAGTTATTTCCTTGTTACTTCATAACCGTAATTTTGCTACTATTATGAATCATAATATCTGGTATACAGGATATCTGATATACGACCCCTATGAAAGAGTTCTTGGACCCCAAAAGGGTCAAGACCCACAGGTTGAGAACTGCTGTGTAGAGAGATGAACCATACTTTCAGAACCATGCTTAAAAACCGATCAGGAGATTCCTTCTACCAGAACCCACTTCTTAGCCATGAGAAAAGAAGACAGGGCTGTGAGTGCAGGGCGGGGGTGGGGGTGGGGTGGGGGGGTGTTGAAACCTTTTGAGTCTACTTTTGAGAATGTCTGCTTACTCAAAAACACAATGAACACCTAAGACATTGAATGCCTACTGTGGATAAACAGTCTGGTGTTGTTGGAGTTGACAATGAAGAAAGGAGTTGTTCTGTGGGGAGGAAAGGTCAGCCCCGTGTACAGGTGTAGTCTTCCTACACTCTTGTAATCCTTCGTGAGCAAATAAGAACCCAACATCACATTTCTCTCTTTGTCTAGACTGACTAACTTAGATTTGCATTTGATGCCCCAGGGCTGGTAAGTTGGCTCAGTGGGTAAAAGAGCTTGCTGAAAATACCTGATGACCTAAAATCAGTTTGTGGAAACCATGATGGAAAACTTTGGAAGTTGTCCTCTGACATCTACACACACACACACACACACACACACACACACACACACACACACTGGGTGGGGGGGGGTTATGATTTTTTTTTTTTTTTGGTTTTTTGAGACAGGGTTTCTCTGTATTGTTTTGGAGGCTGTCGGTCCAGCCTGGCCTCGAACTCACAGAGATCCGCCTGCCTCTGCCTCCCGAGTGCTGGGATTAAAGGCGTGCGCCACCACCTCCCGGTGGGGTTATGATTTTTTAATATTTGTAGCACAAAAAAAATAAAATACCCAGAGGCAGATATTAGGGTTCAAGCTTCAAGCTGAAGATCAGAAAAGCAAAGCAACCAGCCACTAGCTCTTACCTCTAGCTCAGACTGAAAGGCGATCCTGGCTCCACCAAACCTCAGACTGAAGTCCCAGACTGCTGTGCTCTCCTCAAGGAGGCTGGTGAATCCTGAGACTGATTGTCTGTCTATCCTCAATGTGGCTGGAGAATGAATGCCAGCTCTGAGACCCTGTTCCTGTCTTATACACCTCCTTAATGCTTGGGTTAAAGGTGTGTGATCCCAGTGCTGGGATGAAAGGCATGAGCTCTGTTACTCTCCACTCTTGCATAGGCCGGGTGACCTTGAACTCAGAGATATCTGTCTACCTCTTAATCCTGAGTCCTGGGATTAAAGGTGTGTACCACCACTGCCTGATCCCTATAGCTTGAGGCTGACTTTGCTTTCTGGATCCTCAGGCAAATTTTAATAAATCATAAATTACATATCACCAAAAATATTTGTTTGTCTTATTATTTTTGTGTGTTTGAGTGTTCTGCCTGCATGTGTGTTTGTACACCACATGTGTACCTGGTGCCCGTTGAAGTCAGAGGAGGGTATCAGATCCCCTGGGCTGCAGTTCAGATATTTGTGAGCCACCATGTGCCAGGAACTAGACCCAAGTCCTCTGCAAGAGCAATAAGTGCTTTTAAACACTGAGCCAATTCTGCAGCCCAATAAATAAAAATTTTAATACATAGATTTTTGTGCCCTGGATATTGAAATCAGGTAATCACTCTATCAGCAAACTATATATCCAGCCCCCAGGCATTCTTTTAAGGAAATTAAACTCTGAAAACACCATAGCAGATATTTCTGTAATTAAACATTAATTTTTTACATAGCTCTAGTCTGTGGGAGAAAAAAATCATAAAAATTTACAGTTTGCCCATTCCATTGTGATAAATTTAGTTCCTAAATTTAGTCTGTTATTCTGCCTGACATTAGTTTTGTTTTTGTTTCTTTTTTCTTTTTCTGGTTTTTCAAGACAAGGTTTCTCTGTGTAGCCCTGGCTGTCCTGGAACTCACTCTGTAGACCAGGCTGGCCTTGAACTCATAGAGATCCTCCTGCCTCTGCCTCCATAGTGGGATTAAAGGCATGTGCCACCACTGCCTGGTCTTGCCATTCTTCTTTTTTGGTGTTCTTAACCTTATATTGAACATTCAGAACTTGATTCATAAGAGAATTTATGAAAGTTATGTCACTATGTCACATTAACTCCTAGCAATTTTGCAAGAGCCTTCAGCCCTTTCAAGAGGCCAACCTGGCCTACACAGTGAGACCAGACCCTGTCTCAAAAAAGGGGGAGGTAGGGAATGCAGCTCAGTAAATATAGTGTTTGCACAATGATTTCCCCTTTGGGCCTGCCCTAGTTTTTAGAAGCCGATTTTGAAAATTGAAAAGAAATAGTTTTTTTCTTCTCCATGTCACACTCCCTTTCTCCATGTCCCTTCTTCTGGAGAACTAGTGATTGCTTGGAGAGCTTGATGCTGTGCAGGACCAAGGCGGCATCTACCTCTGGCCTGGCCTGTGTGCCTCTTTGCTTACCACCTTTTCCTCCCAGGGGACTGGGATGCCAGCTCGTGCTACCTTTTACTTCGGCAGATAGTCAGGGATATCACTCTGCCTCTTACCCTAGAAAGTGGTTTTGTCTAGTAGCTCTTCTCATCCTCCCAACTGAGCCCAGCTTTCCCTGACAGCAGCAAATCAGGTACACACTGAAATAAGAACGTGGATGGCTGAAGTTATTCTCAGGGTAGAGTCTGGGCTCAGTGCTTAGCTTGAATGAGGCCCTGGGTTCAATTTACATACACACACAGACACACACAGAGAGAAACAGACAGACAGAGACACAGACACACACACACATACACACACACACACACACACAGAGTTTAATATCAAGGGATAACCAAGAGCTTAGCAATATAATCCGTAGCCTCAAGTGATGGGTTAAAGCTATCCCTTCAGTCAATGTGGAAAAAATGACAAGATCCAGCCTCCCTGCTTTAATTATGGGACCTGGAAAAGCTCACCACTTCCTCAAATGTTCCCTCCCTAAACCTGTTCTACTTCTTACTTACTGAGGATATTTAAATGAAAAGGAAACACTGAGTTTTTCTGAATAAACCAACAACAAACCTACAAACAAGTCCTTGTATTTGAGAGGGTTTGCAAGATACAATGTGGGTATTCCATTCTAAACTTAGGAGACTGGCTGT